CATCTGAATATAATATAATATTACATATATTATATTAGCATTATATGTAAATAATTTACATGAAATGATAACAATTTTATGTGATGTACTAAAATTGAAACAAACATTGCAGATTGAGAGCTGGTTTGCAGGCAAGTCAGCGATATTTTCATTTACGGGATTACTTGTGTCATTCGAATTTATTTTCAACTAACATCGCTAAAATATAATTGGAAATAATTTCTTTCATCATATATTGTTTTCTAAATTCATATCGAAGACCATGTTATACATGGAAGTAAACCAGCAGCTCAACTGTGTAGGAACTACGTTCGGATTATGTTCTTTTACTTTCATAATAACACTTTGTGGAAATAGAACTTGTAATATATTATGTCATTTAACTTTCTTTCATTAGAAAATGAAATTTCGTATGCAATTAATAGAAAGACATAGTCCGAAAAGTAAATCCCTACTTCCAGAGGGTTGGCTGTTTTCAAGCTGTGATCGACTAACATTAATTCTAACAACATCCTAAGTTACATTCTTCGATGCCTTATTAATATTTAACGTATATATGCATATATGTATACATATATACATACACACACATACATGCGAAAACGACATGAAATTCGAGAAAACAACATGTAATATGTAACAGTGAATGTGTGAAGATGAAAAATTATTTGAATTAAATTCAGTAATTTAGCAGAAAGTTGATGACATAATTAATTGATGCGATATCTCTTTCGATTAGTTTTCTATTGCTATATATAATGAACTTTCGTAGAAATGAGCATAATAGAATATTTCATACGTTCACTGATGGATGTCAGTGAATCTGTGAAATAAATCGATTCTTTTCTTTTTTTTTATTTCGTCGTACAAGTTCTACAGACTCGCTGACCTCTCATACAATCACTGTAACAATATTATATGTGATCTTAAAATGTGTAGAGAACATTAAAGCTAAACTACACAGAACGATGTCGTATAATATAATATATTAAACCTCCGTTCCTTGCTTTCAAGTCCTACCACGTTTCCTGATGGGCATGTTTCGCATACTTCTACATTTCTCACGTAATCACTTCATTCATAAAAGATTAACGCACTCCAGAACGTTGTCCTTAATTGCAGTATTTTGATTCAATTTTTTTTCCTGCGTTAATTGCATTGTTCTTTTTGCAAGCACGATTTTCTACTTCTACTTGAAAACCGAGTTGATTTGGATCTCCTTACTATACAAAGTAACTGTGAAATTATTTTCTACATATTTTCACTCCCATATAATAACTTATTCGCCTTGAGAAACACGATAGTTAGTCTAGATCGAATTTCGATTTATTTATTTGCGTGTTCGACCCTGCACACACTTTCTTCTCCTGGGACTGTGGCAAATAGTTTATAAAACTATTACACTGAACTGTTTCGTTGTAATTCAAAGAGATTTAAGTGCATGTCACTTCATATTAACGTAGTATAATCAGTTGTAGTATTTCTCGCTGCATAAGCACTAGAGAGTTTATACGAACAGCCTCTGCATTTACGTTACATTATTCTGAACGTGAAAAGAAACAATGAACCCTTTGGAAGCTGTTGATTCTCAATATTAAATATCGTTCCTAAAAAAAAAAGAAATGCATATAATACAAGAGGTTCGTACTATTAATTTTATCACATGTGTTCTCAGAAACTATTTAATAGTAGAGTTTAAATTAAAGACAATTTTGCTTAGAATATATGGTTGCGTATCGGCAATAACTTTTACCGTTATCGTGGATATACAATATTTTTAAAAATATATTGCCGATCCATGTTAATACTGACCCTATTTGTCTCTTATACCGTGTGTTCCATGAAACGCAGACGGCTATGGCTATGGCGGTGGTAGTTACGATGGTGGCTACAGTGGTGGGCGCGGTGGTGCACGCGGTAAAGGTACGCATTAGCGTTCCTTCTCTATTCTTTTGTATTTCTCCACATTGCCCTACATTATTAGCATAGCAAATCCTACCCTACATTTCTAAATTCATGTACATTTCATCACTTGTTTTTCATCAATCATTATTTCGCCTCCCGGTATTGTTTGTGTTTATCCTCTCTCTCTCTCTCTCTGTCTCTCTCTGTCTCTCTCATTGTCCTTTATTTTTTCTAGCTTCTAAGTATGTGTGTACATGTACATGTAAGCATATGTAACTTACATTTTACTCCCGATACTAATAAAAGAAATAACAGATTTTCAGCTCCGTATCGATGCGTATCATTGAGTGTAAAAAGATTCGTTTCGATATAATCTTTACTCAAGAATGCTTCTTTATATGATTATGAAAATCGTAATTGTAATCGTGAAGTTAACTAAAATGTTTGGCAGTACATCGTTACATACGCATATGTATTGTATACGTATGTAACGAGAGCATTCTAGTTTTAATTACTCAGAAATACCGAATGATGACTATTATTCTTCATGCTGATACTAAACTCATTTCATCTTTATATATTTCATTTTCATACCCTTTAACTGTCCTTAAACATTTCTGGTCATTTGATAACAACAAAGTTCCGCTTTGTTAATAGTATGTAAGAAATCTAGTAAGATAAGTTTTGAAAGTCTCGTTGAAATTATTTAAGATAATTCGAAATTGTATTCAGTACAGCAATAATTGTAGATTCCATATAGATACGAGTATTCCAGCATACGAAGATTCCAGAAATGTGTAAGGAGAAAAGGAGAGTATGAAATCAGAGCGCAGCCTTGCAGCTTACTACCTTAGCCTGTAGCCTCTATGTAGATTTTCCGTAGTTTATATCCATTACGTTAGTCTGTATCTTTATATATTATTTCGTATTTTGTTTTGTTATTGATAGAAGTGTGCGTGCAGTAATTTCTACGAATAAAGACCGTTTTGTGGTCACTCGTTTCTCATTACTTCGAATAAAAGAAAGAAAAGACCGGAAGACGAACGGGGGCGGGGAAATCTATCGCAAGTTGCTGGACTAACGTACATCGTGGATATTGTTTCAGGAGGCTCAGGCTACGGCGGAAAGCAGAGGGGAGGTGGTCGTCAGAACCAAAGGCACCAACCCTATTAATGGAAATCATTCATTGCGACCGCAATGCAATTCGCATTGTAACCGCTGGTGAGTCATCATAGCTTTCCTGGCATCTATAACTTCTGTCTACCTTTTTCGTCCCTTTTCCAATGTCACTTACGTTTCAATGTGACCGATTATTTTATGTGTAACAAACGAATGAATAATTAACGTGCCTCTTCTGAAGTTCTTATTCATCGATGTAATAGCAACGTAATATTTGAATTTGTTTTTTATTTCAGGTTTCCAGTCCTACAACAAATCTCATAACTCGTTAAATCATCATTCCATTAAACCGCGTCACTTTCAGCAAGATTATCAACAACGCAGACTACTGCCGCAAAATAAAATGGATCATCAGGAGTCACGACAAAAACTGTAATAATTTCACGTTTTGCGTCTAGCAATACACATCTGTATTATTGAGGAAACAAAAGCAAAAGATATATGAATATATATACATATACGTGTGTACGTATGTGTCTGTCATATGTATATATGTATATGTATATAAATACACGATGCTTTCTTCCATCTATCGTTTACCCTTTTGTACAAAGTGAAAAATGTTTCATATTTCTCATATTGGCTCCCGTTCACATACTTCATCTTATTTATCATTAATTTTTTTACCGCTAATACGTTATGTCGTTGAACGTAAGGCAGCGTTGCATCGTAGTAGTAGGTACGTTTATGAATTGGTAATGCTTCAGCGATATACTGAACAAAATTATTATTGGGAACGTATGGATGATTAAATCGACGGTATGCTGCCTTACGATTAGATATTGTAACGTAATAATATTTTTGTGCAAATGGGAAAGCAAAGGATGATAGGAGATAATTTAAATGCAGATATAGGGAAAGAAAAACAACACATTTCTTATTCACCATTTGGGACTGTTGAAAAATAACTGATATGTGTCCCTACTTTTAACAATAAGATTATTTTAATTTGTTTATAAAAGCTAAACTTAATAAGAGAGAATACATTATAGAGGAGTAAGCAGGCAATGTACTTTTTACACGGCTACGTTAAGACAAAAACTAAGAATGAAAAGTACCGATTTGTTTATAATGATTACGTGAAATGTAAAATGAGGTAAAAAGATTATTGCTTCCTTATTGGTAAGAGAAATAGGATATAATAAAATCATTTTGTGTACATAATATATACCGCATGTTTGTATTTGTGTTGACCGATCCTGATAACTTTAGTTCTCTTTTTGGAAAACGATATGTACACAATGTTACTTTGAAATATAGTGATAAACGTCTATGCATTAGATTTAAATAAGACTGACACGAGGATTTAGTGGATTTATATTACGAAACAATATTTTGCTGATTCAACCACAAAAACTTGCATCGAGAACTAAGATATTCTTTATTTCTATTTAACGTGCAAGGATACCTGGTATAGTCGATGGGAAAAATATAGCGCGACGGTAAAATTGATCTGGTGGACCGAAGCGTGCAATACGAACATACACTTTTAAATTTATTCCATTCGTAACAGTTATTTCATCTTTTCCATTATTTATCTTATTAAATCATGGACAATTATTTCCTTTCGATCAGATGAATATATTACAGACAGGATGGTACGGCTTCGGTAATAGATGATCTCGTTATATTTCTTCCACCAGCTATACATTATATTTATATACGATAGTTTCATTCTAGACAAAAAGGACATCGTAATAAGGTTTTTAAAAATAAAAGAAAATATTGTATTTTTCTCAAGCTCCACACTGTTCTATGTCATAAAAGTATTATATTAAACCAATTAGACAAAACAAGTAATGTTTGGCTTTCTTCATTTCACAGTTTGAAATGTGAAAGATGCGAAGGACGGCATCAAATTTTTTTTACTTGTAATATAATTTTACTACATTGATGAAGAATGTAAATAGAAATTTCTCGGATGATGTACATACGTACGAAATCGAAAATCGGATAGTTCTTGTTCATTTTCTGTTAGAAATTATTCGCAGAAAATTTGATAAAGTTATAAATACATAAGAGGATGCTTTGATATGTAAACTTTATGCAATAATGATCTCTATTATTTTATTACGTGTATTACGCATCAGTGTATATCGATGAATTATCTTATTTGAAAACAAAATGAAAATATTGTATGCAGAATTTAAATATATTCTTTTTCTTTTTGTACGCTTTGCATTTGTTCGTGTTTTATAGGTTACAGAATTAATCAAGGTTTTATTTCTCCCAAAAATTCAAAAGCAGAACTACGTTTATTACATATCAGTCGTAATTAAGTTTGTAATCGTTTATATATGCTTACTGATATACATAATGCATGTAGAAGAAATAAATAAAGGAATGTAAATAAGTGCAACATCATTCCATGATAAAACATTCACGAAGTAAAAATAGTAAGTATTGATCGTTTATAAATCCACAGTTAAGCGAATGATTATTATTTAATTGTATACGAAGAAGATGACATAAATATATTTCTAAACTATAATAAACGTGATGTGATAAACAATCCAATTCAGCGGAAGTTACAACGAAACCAACGGAAGAAGGCCGTATTAGTGGGCTCATCGTGTCGCGGGCAAAATTTGGACTAATTTTCAACTTTAGCTATTTCGCGATTGGCTGATATCCCATGCTGGGAACGAAGCCACCAATCAGCTTCTGCGACACTACCTGAGGAAATGCTCTTCTAGAATTTATTCGACTGATGATGTAGTTCCTGTGAAGTCCGTGGAGCACGAGCAATCGAGCTTGTGTAACGGAGTCGTTCATCTCTGTACTACCGGTGCTTCTGTACAGGTTCCGCTGCATGTGCTGACATCAAGGTGCTCGGAGAACTCATACATTGAACTGTTTTTATAATTAACACTATTGTGAACTGTTGTTGCTCGTGCAAACTCTCTGTTTTCGTCGCAGCATCACGTTTCGCCGGGAAAAAAGCAGTGAGGTGTGCCGCGCATAAGTGATCCCACTGGGTGAGTGTACGACGGGGTAAGATCGGTTTCGCCGATGTTCTTTCATTCGACTTCTCACGGGGAAGACCGCTCGGGACGAACCAGGAAGGCAAGCATGATACGAGTTTGCAAAGATTCCTTCCCATTGTTGACGAATTAACAATACCGTTCCGCGGATCATTGCGGGGACTCTCGAGGACCTCGATGCACATTTTAAACGTTCTTCGCTTGAGTACTTCGCTCAAATTCGATGCCGAACGAACGTAGCGTTGCTATTTCTCAGATAAAGAAAAATCGCCATGCTTGCTCATGCAACGGGGCAGCAGCCCCCTCGCCCTCGACCTCGCTTTTTTCATAGTACACCGATTCATAGACGAGCTATAGTTTCCTGTTTTTCAACCACTGCCTTACGAAGAAAATTTACGTAAATATTATACAACCGCGAGCACATGTTCGCCCAAGACGTGATTGTACACGCGTCTCATTACGGTCTAATGTAGGAATTTTACAGTTTTTTCACATCGTGTACGCATAAATTTTATTCTCTACTATCAGGAATTGATTTATGAAACGAAGAAAATGTAGCATCGAATTATTTTAGTTCCAAATACGTCTTCAATTTTAAATTGTCTTTGTCCCGAAACTGTTTTTTTAATTTATTTTTTATTGTTTGTATTCTTTGTATAATATGTATGTGTAGACATTAGTTACAGCCTTTGTGTATAATACATATATTTTGTATTGATGCGATGAGAATAAGTAAATCTTAT